AGGCCTTTTCCAACCCAAACGGTTCCACGATTCGGAATCGGCACGGAAGCCTTCCCCTGCCGCGCAAGGGCTGCGTCGCTGCCCGCCCCGTCACGGACGGGAAAGGGAACGGTGCAGCCCTTCCCACCGCCCGCTCCCCCCCTCAACCCAGGCACCCTCAGCAGGAGGAGTTAGAATAAAACCCAAGCAGCTAAGCCCAAACCGAAGCCTCATTTAGGGATCATTTCTTAGTAAATCACAGCAGCGTCGGGTTTGGACCCTTCCAGCTCCCTCCAGATGAGGCTTCTCCCTCCCTCCCTTGAGATGCTCTCCCTTGAGGGAGTCGTTTCTGCGTAACGCCCGCTTCCCTCCTCTGTTTCACCCTTTAAGATCTAATAACTCTAAATATATCATCTGTTACCCGGGCGTTCGGCGATTTAATTTCTTCGTGGTAAGAACGAGCTCCCTGTTGCCCGTGGAGAGCATCGGTTCTATCGCGACGGCGTTCCCAGGCCTTTTTTTTTTATTTTTTTTTTTTTCCTAAAGAGCCTGCCTAAAAATAGCAACACCTTCTTTTGTATTAATCCGGCTGCGTTTAAGGAGCTGTAGTAAATCTGATTTCCCCGCTCCTCCTGTCGCTGCGTGCGACGTGTGACCTCCTGCGAAGGGGCATTCGTTTCCCCTAAGATTTTTAGGGATTACTCAGCGTTTTACCAACCCCAAATCAGGAAATTTTGGTGCCTCTGAGAGTAAATCGCTCCTCTACCAAAGCTTTGTCCTTCTGTTTAATTAAAAATCCCGGCTGATGGGGACTAAAGTCTGGCAGCTAAGGATCTGCGGGGCTCGCAGGATCGCGCCCAGGCGGGGCTGGGGGAGATGGAGGAATCCCGGTCCGTAAACTCCGTGCAAACACGTGCTTGGCTGACGTTTTACGTCTCACCCTGACGTCTCCCTCTTTGCCCTTTGCAGGATTATTATAAGATAATTAAAACTCCGATGGATATGGGAACAATAAAGAAGCGCTTGGAGAATAACTACTACTGGAATGCTCAAGAATGTATCCAGGATTTTAACACGATGTTTACAAACTGCTACATCTACAATAAGGTACGAAAAGTTCCCGAATCTGCATTTTTTTCCAAGGGAAATCTTCCACGTCCTCGTTAGTCCCGGCGCGGAAATGCAGGCGTCGCTTGGTCGAACGGTCCTTAAAAGGAGCCGCCGCCGAGATCGGCTTCTTTAGGAAAAGAAGCGGGATTAAAGGGATGGGAGCGCAGACAGGGCTGGCTTAGCAGCCTTCCCTCCCGGAAGAATTATTAGCAGATCTCTTCAGTCTAGACATTGTTTCCCTTCTTTTTTTTTTATCTTAAAAGGAAATTTTGAAGGTTTTCTTCGGCTCTGACTTGAGCAGAGCCACGAACGTTCTCAAATGCTTGAGCAGTAGGTCTGCGCTTCGTGTTTTCTCGAGCTTTCTTAAGAAGCCGACGTCAGGCCGGTTGTAAAAAACATCCCAAAAACCAGTTGTGCAACCGCCTGGGGTGCCGGAAGGAATATCCGGAGGGATGAGGAGCATCCCAGGGCATTTCCACAACCGGTGGTGGTGGGACAGTGGCCTGTGTCGGCCAAAACCTGGGGTGGGTGGTGGTGGAGCTCGGGGAGTTGGAGAACGCTGGCCCCGAGTGTTTCGGTTCCCGTTGGGTTTCTGCTCTTCGTTTCTCCCCGGTCTTTTCTCTCCATCCCCGTTGCTTTGCCCTCCTGCGCTTTGACCTTTATTTTTCCTCCTCCTCTCAGAAATATTGCACAAGACCTTTCTAATTTGTTCCAAATAAGTAGTCGTTAAGCGGTTTTGGTCCTTCAAAACCATCTCCTTGGCCGTTGACCTTTCTGGTTTGAACCAGCGTGGTGCAGCTGGACCGAGGGTAGGTTCTTAAAGGCTTCACATTATTCATAGACGCTTTAAAGTGCCACGTTCTGCCGCCACGGTGTCTTCCCCCGCCAGCTTTCTCCCTGATCTCCCTTCCCCTCCCTGATCTTCACCGATCCCCTCCGGGCTGGAAGGCAGAAAATCATCTCAGCTCAAGAAACATCTCCGTGGACCGCACGGAGCCCGCAAAGCGTCAGCCGGGTTTGTGCGCGCCGTCCGACGGGCGAGCGTGGTTTTAACCGTCCTCGCGGCGACGGCAGAGCTGGAGCTGCCTTCTCGTGGCGTCACCGTGTCGTGACAGCGACGGCCGTTGGTTTACGGTCTTGACGTCAATCCAGCCGTCGATCCCGACTCTTGTTCAGTTGCTGCCTGCCCTTCCCTCTCCGCCAAATTTTACTACTGTCCGCAAAACAACTTCCAGCCTTCATCTCTCTCGTCTCTTCTCCCCTGCGGTGCTGCAGGGTGCCCCTGGACGAAGATCTCATCCTCTCGGGGCGTCCTCCTTCCCGCTTTCCTTGACCCTTGCAAATACAGGCTTCTCCTCCGGATCTGGAAGGACCGCTGAGCGCCATCCTCTCCTCCCCCGCCGATTCAGCAGCAAAGAAAGGCACAGAACGGTCAGCTTCCTCCTGAAAAACCTTTTTCGGGAGGGAAATTTCCTCGCAGGCCCGTGCCGAGCTCTTTTTATCCCCTACCCTGATGCTCTGCGGCTCTTCCATGAGACCCACCGCGTCAGGGCCATCTCGCGCGGTGGAAACGACCGGCTGGCATCAATCCAACTCCTTCTTTTTCCACTTTTTCCCCTCCTTTTTTTTTGTTTTCCCCCTCCTCCCTTCCTTCGGAAAACAGCCTTTGCCGCACGCAGGTAACGCCTTGCGTCGGTTGATTCTCCGATGCGTCTGCTCGGCGACGTCCCTGCCCCTCGTCTGCTTTTATCTATAAAATACACGGGCTTTAGGGTGAGGATTTTTGTCCGTGCGTTCGGCGCTTGGGATGGCGTCCCGTACGCCTTTCCGCCGCCCCGCGATGGAAATAGCGGCCCTGAGGAGGGTGAAAACCCTAAGTCCTCTCTGTGGAGATATTTCCAGAGAGAAATTTCATATATTTGTTCATATAAAGACATCGATTTCCATATATGCTTTGCCTAATTTATCGTTATCTTTTTTTCCTCCAGCCAGGGGATGACATAGTCTTAATGGCGGAAGCTCTAGAAAAGCTTTTCCTGCAGAAAATCTCCGAAATGACCCAGGAGGAAACGGAAATCGTTATAGCCCAGACGAAAGGAAGAGGCCGCGCGAGGAAGGAAGCAGGTATGGTGCTTACTCGTACTAACGTCGGCCGTTAAACCCCGCTCAACTTCGCGCGGCGTCTGGACCGCAAGCCCTGGACCTGGTTTCGTCCTA